AAAATCGGAGTCAGGGGAGAAATACAACTAATTAAAATTACTGTCTTTGCCTGAAACTTTTATTCAGATTTAACAATCTTGTAAGTATAGTAAATTCAATTCTTAAAGAAAATACGAATAGCACAGCATATAGGAAAACACCCATGTAATGATTCTTGATGATCTCCATTTCAAATCCTGCAGTTAGTTGTGCTTTTAAGTTCTAAAATTTGCTTTCATTGAAATACTTTTGCTGATCTTTTTAATTTTACACCAGGCAGTAAATTATCGAATGACTACATATAAAAGTAATTTTTTTCGCCGTTAATTCAAAGTTTAAAAAAAAAACAGTAAAAGACATATTAATTGAATTAAAATAGCGTGAACCACCATTTCTTATTTTTTTAATAGAGAAAACATAATCTATAAATAACTTTGTTTCTAGTGCTGATTTTAATAAAATGAACAGCAATCGCTAGATCATCAGTATGCAATCGCTAGTCGTTATTACCAGATCATCAGCTAATATATATAGAACTTCGGAATTGCCAGTCTTTATGTACCAGACTACCAGCTAATTAATGGAAGCTCACATTAGAATTTCACTTCCGGCTTTCAATCTTAATGTGTCATGTGTGAGATGACAATCAATTCCTGGCCACACGCTCTCTATTCCTTGCGGTGTGGGAACAAAGACGCAAGAGCGACAACACTAGTATACTAAGGCCATAAAGCGAGGGCGCGAGTGCAACAAAGGGAAGGAGAAAGATTGGACATTGTTTCTCTCGAATTCTTGCCCTAGCATTCTCGCCCTTTAGCTTTGCGCCCCTCGTATTTTCGATTTTCGAGCAAAGAACCGATGGAGCCAGTTGCTTCATGAATACTCCATTCTAATCTCTATAATAATTCATTTCTTACTGATAATGCATCTCTTTCAAAGGACATAGTTTCCTCAGACTCATAGACGCTTAAATAACAGAAGAAAATTGTGTAGGATTTACATTTCAGCGATAAGGATTTTGTTGTTGTTGTTGTTGCTCTATCTTAATTGCCTAGGTCAAACATTAAAATAGATTGTGTGCCATAGAAAAGTAGCTACAGTAAGTGTAGGAAGAAGAAAAGACACTATTTAGCACTGACAGGTAAGCTTGATGGACTTGAAGTCCTTATTATGTAAGAATAAAAGCCATTAATGCATGGTGGAGTACACAGTTTGTTTTATATGCAGCTAGGTATGTGTTATAATTACAATGCAAAGTGTTACACCAAAAATATTAAGTTATACCGACAAAAAATCAAGATACTGGAGAAAAGCATGCAAGGAAAAGTGAATGTGTTGTAATGAGGACTAACAGTAATTAAGAGTGATGAGGGCTATCCAAGAGTAACACACAAAAGAAAGAAAGAAAACAAGGGCTACAATTAAATGGCAAGGTTAAAGAGAAATAGTATAGGTCAGATTATTGACAGCTGTCAGAGAAAACAATTTATGAATAGAATGTCACAGAGGAATTAATATGCCATCAGCCCCCCCCCCTTCCTTTCCCTAATCAAGAAAGACAAGGCACAATGAATATTATGAAACAAACCAGTGTTTCACAAAGCACAGACATTATGATCCTACAGAGAATATTGAATAAAAATTAAAAAGTACGTCACGTGAATAATTTCTTGGAGGAATACGTAATCAATTATGACTTTTTTTGTCGTGTATGTTTCTTTTCCCCCCGACACTTAAGCCCAGTTCATCAAGCTATCAGGAACGTAGACAAATTGCTGCTCGTGGGGGTGTGATTGTAGTGATACCACGCTGAATTCAGATTCTCACTTCCGCCAACAGTTCTGTAATATATTAAGCAGCAAGTTAAAATGATATCATAACAAATTCTTATACCTCCCATTAATATTTGTCCAAACGTCGGATGCTCTGCACGCTAGTCAGACGGTCTTACTGAGGGGAAGTAGAAATAACTGGGTAAGCCTGGCTTTTATTTGTTTTTATTTAAAACATTGACCGCGCTGTAAAAATGTCAAGAATCAAAGGAATTGAGAAAGAAATACACATTTCAATTTTCAAAAATAATATTCGTTTAATTGAAAAACTGACTATTTTTAAATTTAAAAAAAAAAGTAATACGATATGATTTATAATTTTTGTGAAAGCTTTTTGATTCAAGTTTCCTTGTATTATCCCTGACTTACAATCCATTTTGAACATTGAAAATCTGCGCAGTAAAATGTAAAACTCTTTTGATTTGATATCTTTGTAAAAAATGAATATTATATTTTTTATATCATATCTTTGGCCAAATGCTAGTAATAATTACACTATGCTGATTTGTTTTAGAGAGAGAGGAAGAGAGAGAGAGAGTTTTTTGGGAGAGGGGACTTTTAATCGAATAAATATATATTAAATGAAATTAGAGGGGAAGATAGCTATGAGGTTTCTACTTGAAGACATCCCATTCTGCTTTCCCCCTTCCAACCACAGGCACTTGTTTCGTCTTTGGGGCACCCCAATTTTACCACAGGGGGTGCCCCGTATACGAAATAAGTGCCTGTGCTTCCAACTCTATCACATCACTCGTTGAGAAAATAAACTTACATGTATGAACCTTAACGTACTGTATCACTTACAAGGCCGTCACCAAGGTGCGTTGGGTGAGATCGAACTCCCGTTTGGGGAAAAAAATAAAATAACCCTGAGAGCAGTGTAAAAGCCCTTCAACGGTATATGGTGACGTCTCATATGAGAAAAATAATCTTTCAAAGGAAGCAAAAACCACAACAATCAATCAATTCAATGCTTGAAAATGACTTTAAGAATACACAAGAACCACACAAAATGGTAATAGTACCATTTCTTAATAACATTTCTGGCTTCTGGGATGAGATACCCCTCCCAGACCTTCCCCGCAACCCCCTTTCCAGAAACGTGGTGACGGTCATCACATATTCTCAAAATTCCAAGGATTGTTAGAGTTAAGTATGAAATAATCAGTATTTCTTCTCATCGTTTTACATTCACAGCGTTTTTCTCTATGCATCGTTGATAGTGACCTATTTATCAAAGGTTAATTTCTGATCTTTTCAAAACGACCCTCATCCCCTTTTGCTGTGATATCTCTTTCTGAAATCCTCGAGCTTAGAATCGTCGACCTAGGAGGTAGCTCTCTGATCATAAAATAAATAATTTTCTGCGATTCCTACCAGTTACATAATTCAGGATTTATATCATTCTAATTGAAAACATTAAATTCTACCACATTGCTGCCTAGGCGTTGGGGGTGTATTCGAGAGGGACCTGTCACGTACATCATTGATAAGAAATGCATAATTACGATGACTCAACAATGATAGTATTTTGCAGATTATATAAAGATGTTATACAGACCATGAATGTTAAAGAGTGTTGGAATTCTTCTTATCCTATGTTTAAAGACTTACATATTCACCTACTTTTCAATCAGTTAGACGATATTTCAAATCAGCTTTTTGAGATTAAAACCCAGAAGTTGTTGAGCACTCGCCTTTGATGTGATTATCAATCTTTCATCAAAAAAATGAAGGCAAACTAATTACGTCTTTTAAAGTTGTAAATATTTTGTTTGGTGGTCATACAAAGGAAAAATATTCCTTCCGTAGATAACAAAGAGTAGTGACTGGACATCCTTTGGTGTGGTACATACGCTCCTGGGCTTAGACAAGAGGAAATAATTTACAAATCATACCAAAACATAGTGCCGAATTTACAAACACTTCTTGTGATTATTTCCACCTCAATGCAAAGTGAAACGTGGAAAGATAGGCGGAGCGGAATTTTCTGCTATTTACAAAACACACACATCAAAAAAAAAAAAAATACAGCTCGTGTTACTTCCAGGCAAATGATGACAAAATATTATTGGAAACTCGTATAAATAAAAAAAAGATAAGATTTATAACAAAATTTTCTTGAGCAAGTTTACGGGTCGATCAGTTTCCATGATAAACTTATCAGCCATGATTTGAGACTTTAACATATAAGAAAATTGTACTTTCACACCTGTTTTGTTTTACTTTTTGAAATAAAATTCAAGAAAACTAAAAATTTGAAGAAAAAGACATATTTATTGGGTAATTCTTAATTAAATAAAATTATAGCAACAAAAGACGTATTATCGAGGCACTTAAATTGTAGTCAGCAACAGCCAATTTGATTTTCAATTGGAATTTCAATGCCCTTGAAAGTTGTGTAATTTATAGCGCTCACAGAGCTGAGTTTAGTTGCAATATAATTAATATATCTATGAAACAGGCACATGTTTTATACTTGTTCATATTCTGTCTGGTGTACGAAAATATTTATGTTATATTTTGTTTCATGATTAAGCGAGTTTTAAAGTGTATCCTTAAATCTAAATTTAAAAAAGTGGCTTACATTCATTTTCCCCTCTGGAAAAAAACAGAGAAAAACATTTACATGTATCTCTCTCCCTCATTCCTAAAATAACACCCTTGATATTCCACTTATATTTGTATCATTTTGTTCGTTTGTTTGTTGGGGGGGGGGGGGGGGTATTAAATTCCAGTATGCACGTGCAATATATATTTTGTGTTTAAAATTTATATAAATAAACTTGGGGGGTGGGGGGGTCTTTAATACTATTTTTCAAATAACTTAGTCTCATTCTTAAAAACATTCATATAAATATTATTAACAAAATAATTGTGTTTTTATTTGTTAATTTATTCATAGGGTACACATACCTCTCTCTCATATCTGCAACTATATTGCATATATTTATACATGTATGTTGTCTTGTGTTTTTCACTTGCATCATGTAAATTATGATTGTCATGATAAGAAAAAAATAATACGAGTATATACAACATGCAATTAAATCTGATTAAATTTTAAAATGGCATAATATTACGCATGAGGCATTTAATACCGCACCCGTGTAGGTAATTAAGAAAGAGAGTAAAAGTATCCCTGTTTTTTCGGCCTTCAGGTTTTCTTGTCTCCCATTTGCTCTTTATTGATGTTGGCAATTGCAGGGACTGTGCTGCTTACTTAGAGTCAGGGAGACGGCAACCATTCATTTCAGACAAGGAGTCGCCACTGAAACGTACCGCATAAGAAGTAAGTAATCTATTTAACTCTTATCTAATTAAATCTTATATCTGTAAATGAATAATGATTATGTGAGGGCGAATAACTATTTATAGTACACTTTTGAAAATGCATAATTCTCTCTATCACAATGATGCAATGGTTCTTTAAATATTTAATTTTGAGTGTTAAAACTATTTGATTTATCATGACAAATATTGATGAGAGGACAGTTCATTTTTAATATTTAATCATAAAAATGTACATAAGGAAAGGATAAAGCCCTTCTTTTTCCCTGGAGTGTCATTTATACAGTCAATTCACACGAAATTTTACAGCGTTTAAGGCTGCCTTAGACTTAACAAGATTTTCTTTTAATGTTGCAAACTTTCAAAATTACCGATGAATAGAACTTTTAGTAACATAAGTTGGCGTAAAAAATAAATACTCATTATTAGAATATAAAACGTATTAATTCAGACACTAAGCGATAATTGTTACATTTAGTTAATTGCTTCTCAAGCATCTCAGCTAATGATTGTTGAGTTATCACAGAATGTAATGGATCTGTAAATGCTATTATTACGTCAACATGAGCACAATGTGGTGAACAGTCTTCATGTACAAGAAATAAGTAAAATTACGACTACGTGTACGTATACCTTCGCCACACGTCACCGATAGAAATCTCGCGTTCGTTACGATCAGAACAATATTTTCTAGTGTCATTCACGTAATAACAACCAGTCGTATTTATTATATACATATGCGAGAGTGTTTCTAATTATTCCGTTCCGTTCCATACTATACATTGGATAGACAAGGCTTCGGTTTGGATATTTAAGAATTGAATTGAATGAATGTATGTTGTTTAACGTCCCTCTTGAGAATTTTTCACTCATATGGAGACGCCACCACTTGCCGGCGGAGAGCTGCAAATTTTGTCCTATACTCGGCACTTACGGCCATTGAGCAGTGAGGGATCTTTTTCGTGCCAGCACCTACTGCGACACGGGACCTCGGTTTATACGGTCTCATCCGAAGGACCGGTCTCCACGTCCCACAGTGGGAATCGAACCTGCGACGTAAGGATCAACTCCTTACTTCGCGACTCTAGAGCGGACGCTCTAACCACTGCGCCACGCGGGCGACGGATATTTAAGATATCAACTTTTTAGTGTGCATAATGGAATTAATTGTAGTTTTATACATGCATACTATGTGGAGAGAGAGAAAGAGAGAGAGAGAGAATTGAATATCTTATGCAGAGAGTAATAAAATAAAAGCAAGGTGTTTTTCGTAAACAGCTCTATGCGCATGGGTCATATATTACATCACATGTGATGTGTGTTATTAATGTATTATCACAGCGGGCGGTTACAATAATAATTAGCTGTGGTGAAATATATAAACATATCATGTATAAGAAATAAACAACGGTGATTGGGATAGTTCCCTATATATCGTTACATTGTTTTAGGCGGTCTGACTGTTTACACATCTGTGTATTCCTTGCAATCAATAGCTCGAGTTCTTGAAAATGACATATATATAAAACATAATTACACATTTAAAAAAAAAAACAGAAGCACAAATTACTATTCTTTTTTTACCTTTTGTCAAAAACTAGATTTTGTTAGCGGAAAAAAAATTGCCGGACTTTTTGGTGACACGTCTCCCTCCCCCCTTCCCCGAAAACGCCATGCTGACAACTTCGGTAGTCTAAATGTACACCTCGAAGTCCTCTGTCATTTTCAAACCCATAATGCACACGTTAAACAGTATACTACATGGAGTTTAACTTATTTTGGGATTCTTGCATGCTTGACTTTAACAATTTTAAACAAAACTGTGATTGTATACTGTTTTAAAGTTTACTATAATGATGCTACTACTGAGGTAAAAGATTTTAAAAAAGACTCATACGTATGTTAACCAAAATCTTTGATTTTGATCAGAGCAAATATCTTTTTTTTTTATTTTAAACTCCAAAATTACCGTTCTAAAATAATAAACACGTGAACATAAACGTCTTTCTGGGATCTTTTGAACTTCTAGTAATATTCCATCATCAAATACGTTACCGGATCAATTTGATTTTTAGAAACACGCAGTTTAAAGCGAGATCTTTGAACTCATACGCGACGCTGTGTTGATATACGTGTAAATCTGTACTTCTATAAGAAAAAATTGAAGAAAAAAAATCATTCAATCTAATACACGGAAAATTATTAGGAAGAAGTGCATGCTACTGAAAATTTATATATTTTTTCCCACAGAATATATATAGGTAAACTTTGGTATTCCTACGGGTAAACTGCTGAAAGCGACTTCGGTGGAGCTTTTGTAACCTTACCGTGTGTAAAAACCGAATAGTGCTGGAAACTAAAATGTTATTTGCAGTGCTTTATTTCTTTTTTTCAGTATCTAGACATTTTTAAGAGGAACTTCAGATTTGCACATTGCATCACCTGCATACGGGGTTTATATCTCTCAGTTGATTCGATACGCAAGAGCATGCTCTACGTATGTACAATTTCTAAAACGAGGTAAATTATTGACAAACAAGTTGATGAAACAAGAATATCAGCAGTCTCGTTTAAAGTCATCATTTCGTAAGTTCTATGGTCGATCTATGGTCGATACAATGATCTTGTCAGCAAATACAATTTATCAAGTCAAAGTCAAATGCTGACTGACGTTTTTCATACTAATTGTTAGGCCATTATTTACACACTGGATTGTTTTCGGACTTTTCCGTTATTTCCCGATCATGACAAGGAGCACACGGTGGGTATGACCGGTCGGCAGGGGATGCTCACTCCTCCATGGCACCTGATCCCACCTCTGATGTTTTGGAGGTCCGTGTTTGCTCTGCTCCTATTTTGTACTGTTTAATGGACATTTGAGCTTGAATACTGTTCGTTATCTCCATATATTTCATTAAATTCTTCAAGAATATACCTTTCTCCTCTTTTAATAGTGCATAATAATGATGAGCTTCGGTGCCTCTTACAAATTTCATGGCCCCTGGATCAGAGTTCTGGTGTTAGGGCGGGTCTCTATTGATCATATAATGAGCATGCATTTATTTAATTCTTAGAAAATCTTCTTTTTAGCTCCTTGGAATTAAGCAGACAAACTAAGTGCATTATTATCATAATTTTTAAATAAAACAATTACTAGCGCATCTTTATTTATATGCTTTTAGTTTAAGCTTAATATTTTGGAAAGCTTAGTGCTTGTTGCCATCGGTTTGGCTTTGAACTCCAGTTAATCGTCAGTACATTGTATTATCGTTGGGATTATCCTGTGTACTTTTTAAGCGGTTAGCGTATACGCTAATCGCTTTATGTCATGTAACCAAAGATCTTACGCAATTTTTGTCGACACCGGAAGCTTCGTCAAAGCGCTACCTATGCGACATCGGAAGTTTCGTCAAAGCGCTACCTATGATCTGTTTACCATCGCTACCTCTACTGCCTTTCTGACTCTGACAGGTTAATACCGAGATAATCGCTTGGCTTGAATTTTTGGGGTTACCTGCAGAGTATAAACTCGTCGGTAAATCCTGCAATCGCGATTTATAGTTAATGTTTATTTTTGGGAGTTGAACGATTTTGTATAAATCATATAGCACCTCTCATGAACAATTTATAGACTGCCCTAATTATTTGACCTAATTATGCCACGATGGGCACTAGATGGAAGGGTTCATTGCTGGCTAAAGGGGTTGAAGGTTATTACCAACTGCAAAACGTAGGCGAAACTTTCGTGTTTGATTTTCTCTTACGAGTTTACCCCAAAGTATTTAGACATTCTTATTAAGTGAAGTAATATACGAAAAAGAATTTTTATTAAAAGCCGTAAATACATTTTAAGTTTCTCTAAATTGTACAACTGTTTTAGTAGAAACAATGGAATTAATTTCATATTGAAAATTTATTTCTTCTCTAATTAAAAGATTATAAAAGTTTAGCTCACAGGGGTACATTCTGTACTCTTTTTTTTTCTTCTAATTACAAACAATCATAAACAATCACATACTTTTATTTTTAGAAAAAAATATTTTATGGGAAACTGAAAATAGTAAAATTAATTCTTAGAAAAATAGAAAACATATGAAAACTTAAATCGGCAGAGTGATCCTCTTCTAAAATTCAACCTTAAGGTTATAAAATATGCAAACGTTTAGCTGAGAAGGTTTTTGAAGGAATCATAAAAAAATCTTGGCAATTGACAAAGATTTTAAATAATAATTAATTATTATTTGAAAACTTGTCAAATGTCTAGATCTGTTTAAAAACATGTAAGTTGTAAACATATTATACTGTTAATTATGATTTTTATTTTGAGTCTTTGAGACAGGCTTATTTATAGAAATTCACATACTTGTTATTACATGTACTAAAAAATATCAATGTAAATTGCTTTGCTGACATATTAATTTGAATATTGAAGAGAGTGACATTGTTAACTGGATAATTCTTGCGAAGGACAAATAAACTGTTAATCAAACAATTACTTTAAGTGTACATGTGAAATCATATATACTAGTATAGCTGGATTAGATAACAACTTTACTTTTCATGCGTTTTCTTTGACATCAAGAGTATTGCATGAAAAGTATGTGCCAAATATTCAGTATCTGTCCCTGTATATATTGTGCAATATCCTTGTCCTACTTTAAATGATTGTTGCATAATCATTTACTCATTTGAACATTTAAAATGTTTGCATGGTCAATAATGTACATTTTTTAAAACTTGATTATCTAGTTTACTTGTCCGTCTTCCACTGAGGGTAGTGCCTTAGTAGCACATAATTTAAAACGGAAGTACTCAGTACCTCAAAAATACAGAATCCCTTTAATGAACTTCAACATTTAAATGTACAAGGTTAAGATAACGAACAGTGATCGATCTATAAATATCACGAGTATAAACATACAAATATGTTAAGATGGCATAAAACACGGACCCCTGAAAATTTCAGAGGTGGGATCAGGTGCCTAGGAGAAGTAAGCATCCGCAATTGATCGGTCACACCCGCCCTGAGCAATGTATAAAGTTTAAATCTATTAATAATAGGGTATTTGTTTTGTTTTGATCCGACTAGTTTACCTTCAATCAAAATTATAGCTACAGAACTGAAGCATTCCGAAAAAAATACTGACAAAATCTCTTTGTCTATCCCAATTTTTTCAGACCAGCGAGCTTAAGATCTGCAGCTACTTTAAATTTATATATTCAAATATTTTAAATTATCAATTTTTTTTAAATTGTGTGCTAGCAACCTAACAATTACCTGATTTCAGAAACTATAGAGCATGGTAGATAAATCTACATCAATTTACTTTTTTCGTCCTGGGCACGTCTGGTCGCTACCTAAAGTGTTATTTAAAAATTGCGCTTTCTGTCTTTCAAACTCAAGAAATTACGCTTTGATATTTCTAAACATGCATTTGTGACATCAAACGATAATAGATGATGTCTTGGTGTATGAATGAGATGTAAGTGGTTTTGTCATTTAGTAAAATATTCCAAAGTTCGGAATGTCTGCTTCTTCTCTGATGACATTGAACAACAGCTACACGTACTTTAATATCATTTCATGCAAAGTTTTTTTTTCAATCTTAGAATCTTAGATGAAAGCATGCTAACCGCTTTTCAGTACTTTCAGTACTTTGATTACTGGTTGTCCCTGGAAAGCTCTCACTGCAATATCGACTTGAATGGAACTACCAAAAACCTTTACAATTACTACATGTATTATTGTTCTGTTTTTCCTTTCTTTTTTAGGAAAAAGGTTAACTTTGTAAACTAAAAAGTGAATTGTGTAGGGTTTTTGAGCTTTCAATGGTAAAAAGAACACTTTAAGCCCAAGGGAATTAGAATGGAAGTCGCCTTAGTTTAGTTTCCATAAGCAGTTTTGCAGTTTTAATTATAAAAAGGTCCTCAGATTTTCCAAGAATTAGCATCAGTAACTTAAAAACAAAACTGCTAAAGTAGGTTGGTAAAGCTTTTTCTGGCTTGTAGATAAGTGAAGAGCGCCAGATTAAGACACACTAGTAATCGGAGGCACCGGGCAGTTACAAATCTACATGCTTTTATACTGTATATGTAGTTTGAAACCACATTAGCTGTATGTTTTATTCGTAGATTGGCAGTGATGGAATCTTTGATTGACAGCTTGAACACAGAGAAATGGACAGAGGTATCGGCAGCAGACAGGGGGGAGGGTAGGTAAAATTGATGCCTTGTTGGGGAGAATTGCAGAACTACATTGTTACTGTCCCCAATTATAATAATTATTAGTCTTATGAAAAAAAAACTTTTGATAACATTGCATGTGATTCAATTTTTTTTTTTAAATATGACTATGTTATATTGTACCTAATTATACTGAAAGCGAGGAAAAAATTCAAAATGGAATCTTTGCGACAGAGCTGTTGCTCTCGGGGAAATAAAATTCGGACATAACAGGGAGCCGCAGGTCCATCCATTAAGAATCGATTTTCTGTTGCAAACTTTGGGTATAAATTTCTCGTATGCATAAGCTTTTCCCCGCCTAAAGTATCTGTTCATTAGACAAATATTTTACTCCTACTCTTGTTGCGTCATTTACCTTTCTGAATACTTATAAAGCGCATGAGAGATATGTGTCGGATTGTAATCTGAGGCAGTTTCAGGTACTTGAAAGTGAATATTTGACTGATGTGAGGAATAAATTACTCAATCATGAGGTTTTTTTCGCAATTAATTATTTTTTCTTTAATTCTGACAGGCTTTGTTGAGTACTCGATCAACAGAAACGCTAAGCAGGTGGACGACACGACGCTCGCTCTGATGATCGCAGACGACTCTGGTAACCCTAAAACCGTCACCCTCTCCTACACGCTTCCCAAAAAGAACCCAGTAAAGAGTGTCAGTCGGTCAGAAATTAAACTGGACGCGGAGGGCAAAAATGTTTTGGGAATTGACCTAGATGGCGACTGTGTTGTTCTGAAGAGTTAATCACGTGATCGATACAATTTCACTTCCTTTTATGAACTACATTTAAGAATGGCTTCTGATTTTCGAGCCACCCCTCTTTTACATTCTCACAGGCTTGTACAAATCTTGCACATATTTTGAATAAAACATTTTAACCACAAGGCGAGTTCACTTTCAATAAATTTTATTTTTTATACTTGTAATATAATTTTTGTTAAGGGATGGATATATACATTTTTGTGTTTGTTTGCTAAAATACAAGAATATAACACTAATGTTGGAACGCCACCAATTGCCGACAGAAAGCTGCAAATAAACATAGTGAGGGGTATTTCTACTAAGAAATGGTCTCATTCGAAAGACCGGTCTCCAAATCGCACAGAGGAATCCGCTATGTAAGAATTCTTGCCTTTCTAGAACAACGCCTTTGCTCTAGACACTGCTCAACGCGGGCGGTAACCAAGGGATAAGTTATTAAGCACTAACTTATACCAAAACAAAGAAGGAGGAGGGAGGGATATTTAACAGGTAATTATTTATCTGTTATCAGAAATTTGTCAGAGAGTGAATTGCCAACTTTGTGGGAGATACAAATTTGTAAGTTTTATTGTACTATATAATAAGCTTTATAATTATGTTTAGGAATTCTTTGATTTGTACTTTATAGGTGTTCTTCATGTATTTACTCTCCGTCATCAAGTGGTTTATCGCATCTGAGAGGGGAAGGGGTAGAGGAAAATATTTTATACCCCCCGCAAACGAAGTTTGGGAGATTACATGTAAATGAATCACCCTGGCCGTCTGTCCGTGCAATCTTGTCCGAGCTATAATTAAGCTTGTAATGGAGAAAAACTGGCAGCTCATACTTGGTACAAAGATTGTTTGTGACCTGATGGTTTGTCATGACCTTGACAGAAAGTCATTCCGCCATGTTCAAGGTCACTGGCAGAAAAATTATCAACTCTGGTACGGGCTATAATTTTGTAATGGAGAATTCTTGGAAGGTCATACTTGGTACAAAGATTGTTTAATATGACCTTAACGTGTGTCATTACCTTAAACTAAGGTCATTTTGGCAAGTTCAAGGTCACTGGCAGAAACAATATGAAATTATTGTCCGATCTTCAACTTAAAAAACATTGAACGTTCATAATTCATACATAGATTGCTCATGACATGAGGGATTGTCATGATCATGTACCAAGGTCATTTGATTAAGTTCACTATCACCTATAGAAAAATGCTCAATTTTTGCCCTTACCAGCTTGTAATGGAGAAAATTAGAGGCCCATACTTATCACAAATACTGCATATGATCTGGGGTATTTTTGACCATGACCCAAAGTCATCCCAGCAAATTTAAGGTTACTGGCGATTTTTTTTTCTTGTCCTTTCTGTAACTCTCAAAAAAGAGGCTAATTGGAAGGTAATACTTGACATAAAGACAAAAAAATTGCTTATGACTTTAGGGTATTCATGATCTAACGCAATGTCGTTTTGGCAAGTTCTAGGTCACTTACAGAAAAGGTGTTAAGTGTCCGGACGGTAACTTTCTAAATGATAAACACTGCATTCATACTTCACACAGATATTGCTTGACGTCTTGAAAGTGTGTCATGACCTTGACAGTTTTGTTCTGTAAGCTAGCAGAAAATATGCTCTTCAAAAAATGAAACGCATTAGAAGGAATAATACCCTAAATAACATTAAATAGTTTTGTCATACAATTTTTTCTAGGTGGATATGATTCATACGGGTAAAATGCATTATTTTTTCACGCTATTGTTAACTTGGCAGCCATTCTACAAAACTCGCGGACAAAAAGACCTGATTTTGCAAAATGCAAAAATTTTGGGTTTTTACCAATTTTCTCTTGTCGGTTTCTGATCCATATCCTTAGATACAAAAAGGCTATCAAAAGCTGGGGTTATCGATATTTTGATTCTGGCTTTTTCTGAAAATTGACGCTATTTAAAAATGCTGCATCTGAATTTTGCATATATATCGCAAAAAGGAAATTGGGCGACTGGAAACAGGTGCACCACACTCTACACATCTAAGAGGTTTTAATGTTGCACAAAGCACCATATCTAACCTGTGAAACAGATACCAACAGCATGGTACAATAAATGATCGCCAAAATATGGCAGACCACGCATGACATCAACAACACTGGGTCGCTTCAGTGGTGTGCGTTATTTTCATCAATGTTTTACAATGACGTCGTCAACAGTATTAGCTATGCAAGAAGTGCAAAAGTGCACAGAATTTATAAGAAGACCATATGAAATTGAATATGGGATGCTGGAATTATCGCCAGAGGACTTATTCATTCCATTGTTCTGACCAAAAAACACCGAACATATCGATTTCAAATGTCTCAAACCAACAGAGTATGGTCTCGGTAACACAGCTGAACAGTTTGGTGTAGCCACTAGTCCAAAATGCTTATTGCAATTCCTGATGTAAAAGTCAGAGTGCATAAGCTTTGTAATGAACATTTTACAAAAAACTGCCTCCGGGAGGTTGATAAATTTAATGGTGGCAGTATAATGATGAGGAAACCGGTATTACCTACAAGCAGGACTGATTTGGTTCAAATTCAAAGGACTTTGACGAAAAACTGTACTCTTACGATGTCCTACTTGCACATGTCTTTCCTATAATGCAGCATCCTGGAGCCGTATTTCAATAGACAATACACATCCACAACAGCTTGTTTGACAAGCGCATTCTTGCAAAGCAACATCATCCTGTTCTGCTTTAGCCATCTATATCGCCAGATTCAAACCCCATTGAGTATGCATTGGATTAAATGGATAGGCATATCCGCCAAAGACAATCACATCCCCAGACTCTGCAACAGATGATTCATCAATTGTAACTTACCCGAAAGATAATACAGGGATTTTGAAAAATAAATCACATTTGCAGTCAAGGCAAGGAGCTAAAAAATGTAAATATAAGCATTGAATCATTATTTTTTGAAAGATATAGTCTCATAACTGCAACGGTGTGTGCAAACAAATTTTCATAACGCGCTAACGCGCGTTACTCAATTTGTTTGCAATATCGTTGCAGTTATGAGACTATATCTTTCAAAAAATAATGATTCAATGCTTAAAACATTTAGAAATTACGAAAACAGTTTAAAAATCAGAAGTTAATAATAATTATCAATATTTCATGGTATATTACAAAGATTTATTCAAATCCTCAGACTTTTTTAAAAGTGTTTATCAACAAAGGCAAATATATATTGCCGAAGTGGAGACATTAATAAAATGAATTTTTAAAATTTCTTTCTTTCTTACGTGAAAGAAGTGCCAGTAAAAAAAAATATTTTTATACAGAAGGTTTATTTATTTCATTGAAAACAAAGACAGATCTGCTTTTTTGAAAATGTTTGCAAAGAAATGAATAATGTTTTCATTATTAACCTTTTTACACCTAGTTAAATGAGGAATGTTAATGTATGGTCATGCTGAATCTTGTCTGTTAACTGTTACAAGGACAGGTGCTGCTATGATCTTTGTTCAGCTCTGGAACGTTCTCTTTATATAAAAAGTCAATCGTCACATCTCACTTTCACCATAATTCTCCAACAGCGTAGATCATAGGACGGGCCTGGAAGGCGTAGGATGCAAAGTAAAGTCCCTAAGGACTCATTTCACGGATGGCTGGTTGTTGTAGCGTGTTCAATAGCATTCTTTATGTTTGTTGGAAATTCAAGTTGCTTTGGACTGTTGGAGATCGAAATTAGGCAGCTGTTTTACGGACAGGCATCTTCTATTTCAGCTATCAATGCGCTCTATAATGGCCTCGGTTTTGGACTTGGTAAATAGTAATTTTTTTTTTGTCAGACAACTTATTTTAAGTCATTTGACATAATGATTTTTGTTTAAATTGTGACATAACTTGTATCTGATTCTGAACAGCCCCAGTCGTGGCAGCTTTCACTAAGGTTGTCTCCTGTCGCCTGCTGTGCGCGTGTGGTTCCTTCTTTTGTTTCATAGGGTTTTTAGTAGCTGCCAATGCACAGACACTCCCGGTCATCATATTTTGCATTGGGGTACTACCAGGTAAAGAAAGTCAAGAGATCTGATTTTTTAAAATTCTTTTTCGTACTCATTGTAATAACATTTTTGTTTTGAATTTTAACAAACAGGAATTGGTTTCAGTTGCATAACGGTACCCTCCACCATAATGGTTGGCGAATATTTCGAGAAGAGGCGACCAGTGGCATTGATTCTTAGCGTTTTGGGAGGAGGTGTGGGTATCGTAGTATCTCCGTACATTTTTACACATCTCAACCAGACATACGGATTAAGGGGGACATTTTTAATATTGTCTGCCGTGTCCCTCAATGGAATAATGTTTTCTTTTTTATATAACATCAATCTCGCCAAGAGCAAACAAAGTAAGTCTATGTAGACTTTTTTACAAAGTCAATTATGTTGATGTGAAATTTTTATCCATTGAATAGATTTTATATTTTCCACAGACACGCATGTTATTTTCCCACAGTGAAAATGATGTGTTATTTTCACAGTGCGTTGTAGACCCGCTAATGATAAAACGCCGCTTAACGATAAAAATATCATTAAGCGTTACATTGCAACGCTTATTGCCATAAAATATTGCATTAATAGTTGACATTCTCAACCGCTAATGCAAAATCGCCGCTTATGAAATAAATATATTAATTAAGCGGTTGAGAATATCAACAATTAATGCAATAAATTGTGACTTAGGCGTTGCATTGCAATGCTTAATGATATTTTTATCATTAAGCGGCGTTTTATAATTAGCGGTTGCTAGAGTGCGTTATTTTCCCGAAGTGATCTACTTAGCTGATAGAGTCGGAAGGAAAGTCGGAGAAAATGTAATACAAAGAAAATTCATTGATATGTAATTTGATGTGGAATTTATTTCACTCGTCAGATCAGACGAGTTAAATATGTATGCGCAGTAGAGAGAGAGAGAGAGAGAATCTTGTATAAGCAGAAGATAATATTTAGGCATGATATGTACTATAGCATTTATACATTAATCTGCTTATATATCAATAAGTTTTAACTTTGTCATTGCCAATTTTCAACATATTCCTTTTATATATTGACTGTTCTCCCAATAATCTACTACTATTTATTCTAGGTAGACTAAACGTTCTGAGGGAAGTTTGCCTTACAGTTTTTGACAGAGAGCTCATGAGGACCACGAATTTCCCGGCAGTGACCCTGTCTTTCCTATTATTGTACATTGTGTATGCTATCCCGTTTCTGTTCCTCCCAAAAAAGGCTTTTCAGTTAGGATTCTCCGAAGACATGACATCGCTTTTATTGTCCATCATTGGAATTTCCAACTTTATTTCCCGCCTTCTGATGGCGATAGCCGCCAGTAGATCACCATTTTGTCGTCAGGTTTTATTGTCCTCGTCTTTTGTGATAAACTCTGTTTCACTTCTAATATTTGCCATTTTTTCTGACTTTTTATTTCTGGCTATTGGTGCCTCCTTCTCTGGTTTTTCAGCTGGTAAGCTATAATGATCAGCAATGAAATATATCCTTATATCTTTAATTATTTTAATATAACCTTTCTCTTTTTTTTTTTGAAATATCAGGGATTTTTATTAGTGTGACACCTGCAGTGTTCCTGGACCTCTTCGGATACGATAAGCTTGCCAGCAGTATCGGCTCGCACTTTCTCGTTGTTGGGTTGGGGTATGTGATAGGTGGACCACTGATGCGTAAGTCGCTCACACATATATTGTAGATCAAACAATGGTAAATAAATAATATTGACATGTAATACTGAATTCATCCCCTGCTTATTCACAGCCTTGCAATTAATTTCTCGAAATGCATAATTTGAGTATTAATATTTTGACAGTAGGATCGGTATGTTTTCTTTGAACTACCTACAACTTCAGGTATTGATAAAATGTTTTTCCTAAATTATATGTGGTATCGTTTTCCTCTTCAGAATCATTGTCACTGGTACTGTCAGACATTAACACTGTTTTTTATGTGTCTGCTGGCTGCTCCTCTTTAAGCACGCTGATGCTGATGTCGGTAACGTGTGATAGATATCTCCCGCGGAGGCAGACGAGTTGTTGCACGCGACACAGAACATCCGACCAATCACAGAAGGCGTTATCTGGAGATGTTAATAAGGTGTTCACAATAAGTACACCAGAATGCCAGACAGGTTCAGCTATTATATACTCCGACAAACTGTAATGGAAATTATTATTGACCATTATATACACATATGCATCTTTGATATACATGTATGTAACTACAAGCGCAGTTTGATTGATTCTGTGTATCTTACTTGCATGTAAAATAATGTCAGATATTGTTTAAATAAATATATTTTAAAAAAAAGATTTGCGACCCATCTGTTAAATTAATAAAATAAATTCAATAAGGTGCTGTATTTTAATTATTCACTATTTGCTGCAGCATTCGTGTCTTTTGTACCGAGTATGGTGTAAACATGACTTGTGGGAAACATTCTATCAGTGCTGTAGCTACTTCCGTTGCAACCAAGTCAACGTACTTGTTTTACCCTTTATTTCAAAAAATGGAACTTCCTGTTTGGAAATGATTAAGTACATGTGGAATGAAAAAGGCCCTCTTTAAAATCGCCCCCCCCCATCTCTCATGCACTGGCGAAATGATGTTTGAACCGAAGAATTTAAAATTTCTTTCTAATAGGCCTACCAAGCTTTTTTATGTGCATTAAGGACATTACTTCCTTCGTATATTTTTTAAATACGATATAACGAATTTAATTCGTTATAAGAAATTTGATAATCAGTTTAAACGAATTCAATTCGTTATAACAATTTTAAGAATTCGTTTATACTTCGAATTCAATTTGTTGCTAAAATAAATTTAAGCATTCGTTGTAACGAAATCAACAAATCTTTTGTAATAAATTAAATTCATCGTAACTAATTCAACAACTTGTTATAACAGATTAAATTCATTATAACAAATTCATCAAATTAATACAACGAATTCAAAAATATATTTTGATAGGTCTTAAAATGACTTTCATACATTCATGCATGTTATAGTACATGTGAAATGAGGTGAAATTTTTTGGCAGCAATATGGGTCGACGTAGTATATATTACACAGAACACTCTGTAGCAAATTAGTCTCTGAATCACCCTTTATATCAAAAAATGGAATCCTCTAGAAATCTCGGCATGATATACACATTATTATATAATGGACATGCCACTAATCAGAAACCTTTCATTGCCGTAATTAAAACATGCTGACCACTCCAAAACATGTATATATCATGCAAATGAAAACACTTCTGGCCGATCCATGAAATCCCAAAGTCTGATGACGTAACGCTTAATAAGGGGTGAGTTATTGACACTGACAGTGATTTTCTATTTTAAGTAACAGAAAATTCTATTCCTCTGTTTTCTATTCTACAAACAAAATCGTTTAGTATTTCTTTGTGATTCCTGGGAGCCTCACCCCATTCTGTTCCTGGTCTCTATTGAGTCAATAGTGTCTGTGTGGGATAACTTTCGCACTAGTTATAGGTAGGTCCTCAGACTCGCATTTTAGCCTTCAAGTTAGTATGTGTATTATATTTTTGAAGTAAATTTGTTTGTTTAATCACTTCTGCAGAAAATTGCGTCTTTTTCCCCCTTAGCAAGTACGAATTAGTAACTCTTTATGCCTTATTTTACTTATGAATGATAAAATATTCTTTAAAAACTAGTATACTAAAGTACGTGAACAACGAATTGAATTATAATGTCAAAGCGTATATGAGTCTTTAAGTTAATAACTTTACTATCCCAGTCCTCGAATGACCAGTTCAAGCACTCAACAAAACCTCTAGAGAAAAAACATTCTCTATCAATGCATTTTTAATTTATAAACGATCAATGGACAATCAAAAAAAAAAACCCTGTTCGTTTACATACATTTCATAAAACAAATAGGGTTGGATCGTGAGGAGTTCGGGTGTTTACAAATTTATGCTAAGGGTCTTCAAGCCATTGAGCTCGAGTGCCTTGTGTATTTAACCACTTGTAAAACATTTTAAAAAAAGAGCATTTGCTCTGTGAAAAAGTTAAACAACTATATTAACTTTTGTTATCCTGGAAACAGATTACTAATTGAAACAATTATCTTAAGTTTCCACGCATTCTTGCAATTGTTTTCCAACCTTCTATCTGGTATATTTTTAGTCGCGTTGTAAAAATATTTTGCAAATCCCTCGTATAGCACGATCTAAATTAAGCAAAAATGGCATTGGGTTGTATATCTTCTGATTACTTTTCAAATCGTAAATGATACAAAGTTCCATTATATGTAATCCTGACTTTTTTTTTCATCTATAATAACTGAAAAGAAGGGAATTTGGTGCTCTAGAATAATGAGCAACAAACAAATATATTGGAAGGAAAGCTTAAACGAAACCATCACCGGTATTAGTACACCCACACGGAACTTTATATTAATGAAACCTAAGAAAATAAGCTAGCCAAATTCAACATGTTCCGAAAAACAAAAAGTACTGTACAATACTCGTTTTACATTGAAAGCATGATGAAGGTTTGTGATGATGCACGACAATCTCCAGATCAGAGCTTTGCAGAATTTTCAAATTTGATTTATTGAACACCTTTAATTGTGATGGTGATTCATCCGTCAAACAAAGGCCTTGGAAAGCTGTGTGTAGAATGAAAGGTTTATGAGTTTAAATGTTTTCAGAATAAGAAAGCACATTCTCCAGGCTTTGTTCAATGTTTTATTTTGTGTGTGATTTATTTCATAGATCTAAATTTTTCAAAAAGTGTTGTAGAATTTGATAAATTTACAAATACATTAGAATTTTTTTAAAAAGGAGAAAATGAATGATAAAATTAGGCTCATATTAGACCATATCTCGATCATTTAGAAAGATACACGTGCACTGTTACAGTGGGGTTTTTTTTTCCTTGATTACTGAGAGGGGCTGGAGTTCGTGATCACTTAAGAATAATTTTATAATTTGCACTATGCCTATATGTGTTATACACAAGAAAACTGTTTTTAAAAAGATTTAGGAATTTAAAAAAAAACAACAACAAAACAATACTGAACTCTTTATTTCATAAGTTTATTTTTTCGCAACTTTTTGATCAGCTTGGTCGATTTATGAAATATTTAGACTAAGCTTTTCTCTATCTGTGTCAATGCCCTCTAAGAAGGTCACTTATGACGTCACGAGTATTGCAGGACGTTAACTGTCGTAAGTCATGGTAATGTGACGAGTACTTCAGCTTTTTGTCTTTGACTCCCTCGCTCCTCTCGTTGTTATCCATCAATTCTACGTCAATCTCTATAATATACGATGACTTATGATCGTTGTGCAACGTGTATCACTTCATAAACCTTTCCTTCAGTTCTATTTCTATTTATTTCTTTATATATTTCTTTCTTTCTTTATTTATTTATTTATACATGTAATTATTTTTATTTTTTCGTTCGTTATTTATTTATTTATTAATTTACTTTCTATTTATTATTTTTATGAGAGGGAAAGAGAAAGACAGAAAATGTCCTGAAAGCGTGTTTTTGGGGGATCGTATCTTTTTGTATAGAAGATATGCACATGCATGTCATAACAGGCATACTGTGAACGAAGTCTTTCTTCTGGCATCTCGTATTTACAACAGTGATATTGATATATCAATTACTCTAGACACAACATAAGTACTGTAAAAAAGACTTAATTGAATTTGTAAATAAGCTAGGACTTAGTAAATACAGAAGGGGTGCAAAGGCAACCATATCATCGATCATGAGATTAATAAACAACACATGTTTGTAATAAGAATTTTTAGCCTTTTAATTATGTAAGATGTGTGGGAATCTGCCAAAGAAACCTCACAAAATAAAACTGTCAGTGTTAATAACGAGCTGAAATTCTGAAAGTTTGCATTGACATTTTGTATTGTGCAAATGTACTGCAGAGAGCTTTTTACAAGAAAAAGGGTAAAATGACTGTATCGAAAGTCATTTACTAATGCAATGTATACGATATACTATTGTTTACTGCAAAAGAGTAAGGGGAAACGAATTTACATATCTATCAAACCCATACCCCAAAAATTATTAACCATGTTGATATACCTCAGGCAAAATATCAAAGAGGTGAATTTCTTCATAATTATTCTACGAAGCTTAATGAATAGTTTTATTTATAGCAGATTGATTGTCAACATTCAGCTTGATTCTGTTTTTCATAATCGTCTTTATACAATGAATGAAATTTGAATTCTTTTTATGCCTCCCACATAGATGTACAATGTAGTAATATATTGTTTTTTGATATGGTATTCTACAGGTAAGTCCATCTATACCTAACAGACGTGTCGGCGTCATACATAACTCTTCAACCTTGGGCTGGAATTAATTCAGTCTTAACAGTTGTTGTCCATCGCCTATGTTGCGTCATCACCTAGACTAAATTGGTATTTCTTAGCTTTACAAATTCGTCACTGAATTGTGAAAGGGAGGCGGTACTTAATCAGGGTGATAACGAAGCCAGCTGATCAGACAAAGTTCTTTGTTTTTGAGGCACATTATTACACCTGCATTTTAGAAAGACATAGTTTTCTTTCAAAGGCTGAAAATCAAATTCTTTAGTATTAAACAATTTTTACATTCCATTCAGCGGAATTAAATTTGATTAACCGCAACCATACTAGATTACAAAACTTCATAATATTCCTTATAAACAAAGATTCTTTGCAGAGTCCAAAAATGTTTTATACAAAGCCCTTGTCTTTACTCCTAACAAAAAATATTAACTGTTATGAAGGAGAAACTTCAAAAAATTTTAAAGAACTGGTGTATACATAAAATGTGGATTCGCAAAAATTTTCCAAAATCGATAACATCAAAACGTATTACTTTTCAACATTTTATATAAGCATTCCTCGCGATAAATTAAAGACTAGGCTTTTTGACATTATATCCTTCAAAATCTCTTATCAAATTCATCTTTAAAATTATTTTGCTGAAAATCATTCTGATTATACATAGAATTTTTTGAATTGACATAAAGAAGAAGCTGGAATTTTTTATTTACATCTATGAAGTCTTTGGAGACCAGGTCTTCCAACAATCTGTTGGAATTCCAATGGGCATTAACTGAGCTTCTTTATTAGCAGACTTCTTTTTACATGTATATTCTTTTCAAGCAGAATTTATTGAAAAACGTTTACATGATAAGAAGAAATCTCTACACTTTGGCCTTCAATTCGAAATTTAGACACATAGACAACGTTATACTGTATCAAATCACAATTTATTTTAATTCATATATCTACTCACTATATATCCCAGTGAACTCGAAATATAAGACAACACAGAGTCTATCATATCTATTTCATATTTGGATATTTACTGATTATAGACGTTAATGGCCATTTAACCACTATCTTATCGGTCTGCAAACGCATGTTTCGAGTACAATCAATTTTAAAACGATACAGGCTACTGAAAATAAGCTGGTAATACAAGGTTTTCAACAATCTCGTCTGAAGTCAGATTTTGCACATTCGTTATAATATGACCTTGTTTGCAAATTCAACTGTTGGGTCGTATTTTGAATGACGTTTAATGCTAATTGTTCAACCATTGTTATTATAATACATACTAATTTTCAGTACAGATTACCATTTAGGGGGCTAACGGCGGGTGTATCCGGTCGACAGTGAATGCTTATTACTTCTAGGTACCTGATCCTACTTCAAGTATTTCCAATAGTCCGTGATTTTGACCTATTTTTTATAGCAGGATTTATATATGAGATTGATAATTGTTCGCCGTTTTCAGCTTTTACATTATAGGTATTTATTGTAAGGCCTGTGACCACTATGCTTACTGTACAAAGTCTTAAAATATGCACACTTTACATTTCAGGTTTTTGAGTAGTTGATACAAAATGGACACTCTGATTGACTTATTGAATACAGATAAATGGACCGAGGTAAATTCTGCTGATCGTGGAGAGGGTAAGCAATCATTGTGCCTTAAAACGAGACATGACTATGGTGGCCGATATCAGTCTGTACATATTCCGACTGCTTTTAAAATTTGTACATCATGACGTACTAAAATATTTGATAAATACACATGTTAAATCGTATTTTCTATTTTAGGATTCGTCGAATGTGCCATTAACAGGAACGCTAAGCAAGTCGATCCAAACACTCTCGCCATAATGATTGCAGACGATGCCGGAAACTGCAGAACCGTGACTATTAACAACACAAGGGAAAATAAAAATCCGGTAAAAAACGTCGGGCGAGCGGAAATTAAGCTGGACGAGGAGGGCAAGACGGTACTGGGGATAGATATCGATGGCGACTGTGTGGTTGCAAAAAGCTAATATTTAAAGGCTTACCGGTTATGTGGACAGAAGTTTGTCCTCGCTCAACTCATCATATGCACGACAGCAAGGTTGAAATAAGTGACTTGTACATAATGTGGCATCTCCCAGCATTTTATAATTTTATACCTTTGAAGTGTGCACGAGATATTGTGTGTCTGATGTATCATTCAGTTTGTGGCTACACCTGATTAAATGGAACTTATTATGTGTTTTCTTTTTTATTAATCACGACTAAATTCATTAATACAGTCTATTATCATATTAATAACAATAGTTCACAGGCGTAAGTTAACCAGTTGTTACATGTAACTAGAGCTACACATTACAAATATCTGAGGTTATATAAGCTGGAAAAAAACACACCTTAGTGTCCTATGTTTATGACTAAGAGGAAGTAAATTTACTACGATCTCCTATGTTTTTGTGATTAAGTACGTTTTCATCCGTGATACACGAGCCTTTGGCATGTTTGGAAAAAGCGAAACAATATGACTACGCTAAAAATAGTGCCTTTGTTTAAATAAAGGCAAAAATTAAAGTACATGTACTTATCTATGTAATGTCTTTTATTTCGTTGGTTAAATCAATTATCAATTCTTTGATCTTCAAAGCAAATGCATCATAATAACGGTCATGACATTTGTTTTACAAATCACGAGACGAGGCGTTGGAATACAAAGTGTGGGATATGAAAATTTATCCGATGACTGATATCCAACCTATAAAGGAGTAAAACTGACAAAAGAAAAACTACGATATTACAATCCAATCCAACCCCCACCCCTACCAGCATCACCAAACACCAAGTACCGGTAAGTGACAACAGGTAGACATATGGTCCTGGCTTAAAAGAATCTACTAGACATCAAGGAAACAAGATGTGTTGTACCATTATAAACTATACCTGATTATTTCACATTATTTATTTGTGTAGAAACTTTCAACAAAGATAACATGAGCATAGCAAATACAATGTACAAAAATACAAGCCCTTTAAAAAAATTGAATACATACAGAAAAATACAAATAATTTTAAACAAAGCCCTGCGGCTCTACTCTTTAAAATTTCCATAAAACAAGAATATATTAAACACATGAAATAAATAAAGTCATTTAATTAAAAGCTCTGGTAAATGTTACCAACATAAACAGTTCTTGCATAAAGCAGCATTTGTATCATACTCCCTGTCGATTTAATCTTTACTATTGTATGTAAATTTAGTTATAAATCCACAACATACTCAATGAAAAGAACATCTCTTTCCATTCAATTTTCCCCTCTGTCCATTCATATAAAATGTATGCTTTCATGATTATCATTTTCTATTAGAAATAATAATTAAAATGCACACAATTTCAGCAAACCTTGTGGGCAAAATTTTTACAGAAATAGCCTTTTTTCTTCACAATTTTATAAAGGAATAAATGTAATAGTCATTTATCCCAGTATTTCTCTTATCAAACGATCAATAAACCGTAAGTCTTTCATTTTACACAGGTAGGTTTTTAAATGAAGGGAAAAGTTGTTTTTCTGCTCATCTGTAGTGGTTCCTGAGAGTATGAACTGAAATCTTAAAGGAAAAACAGTAATATTGTACAAATATCTTATTTGAACGAATTCCTCCCATAGCACTTCTTGTCATGACAACTTTCACTATAACTGTGTAGGGACACGGTCAACCCTAAGTTACCTGGTGTGTCCCAGATCTTAATTTTATCCTGACATAAGTAATTAATAATTAATAAGCAGCTCATAATGATCAAACATACATGTGTAATTCTTCTGAGGACATGAACTTTAAAATCAGTTGGAAATGCTCAGAGAATAATAGTTTAATTAGTTTAAAGTATGAACATTTCACTGTATAATAAGATATTGTTTTCCCTTAATTCATTCTCCCAGTAAAACTGAAAAAGAGTGAATGCTCATTATGCTGAAAATATGCAAATCAAACACCAGCCACATGTGGTGCTTAAGGATGGATGAATAACTAAAATTTCACCCCCCCCCCACCAAAAAAATAAACCCTTCTACAGTATTTTCAAGAATTACACAAAGATTCACCTCCCCCCTTCCCTTCCTCCCTTTTCCAATTTATTAATCTCATTTTAGAACTGGCATGAGAAAAGCACATGTCCTCTTCTGTCTTTAATCTTTGACAAATTGCATTTCTAATTCAACATTTTTCTTCTAAAGTGAGAAACTACATGTAAAAGACAAACACATAATGCATATTCTTCTGGAGTAACATTGATACACATTATTGATTTAAATAGTTTAAATATCAAAAATAGTTTTGACAGAAAAAAAAAACTTAACAAACTTTAAAATAATTGAAATATATATAGGCATACATGAATCTAACACCTACCTAATATGTAAACATTATGCAGATATTGTATTATGTGGTAAAATGTATTCTAGCAGATAAAAACAGCTCTCTTACTTGCACCCACACAGGGATTTAACAAAGAGTCACAGAAAGTGTAGGTCCTCAAAAAAAAAAAAAAAAAAGGAAAGCTACACATGTAATTTTAAATCAAACTGACAAACTAAATCCTAAAGGATGCAAAAATTTGTTAGCAATTATTTTTACTCACAATTTTTACTATGATTTTATATGAATTTCCATGTAATTTTTCTAGAAAATATATTGTGAAAACATAACTTCTTTTTTTATTTATAGGTTAATAAATCATGTTTGGATGCTAGGATGCTGTTGTTTTACAATTTTTTTTTTTTTTTTACAATTCCAGTAATTGTAATTCAAAGTTGAAAAAAAAAATTCCGAAATTTAAAAATACATACTGAATACTGGTACTTTAATCTCTGTCTCATGATATGTACTGCGCAATAAATATACCGGTTTATGGATAAAATCTCTCATCCCTATAAATCCTGTTGATTTGTTTGTTTAAAGAACAATATATTAAATCATGGTAAATGAAAAAAAAAAATTATTAAATTTAATGTTTGAAACAAACCTCGCTATCCTAAACCCAATGGGGCTGAGGAAAAATTTTGAGATATATCAGATGATTCAAGATATTGCAGTTTAAATATTTAAACAAAATTGGTTGGGTTTCCAAGTCACTTTGACAAATCCATGGTATTCAAGAAGTCAACATTCCATGTACCAAATCTTAACTGTAGTTCATAACAAACAAACAAAAAAAATAAACAGTCAATAAAAAAAAATGTACAACATATGAACATGTACATTGACTTTTTTCCTTCGCATACAACCAAGACAAAAAAATCATATTCATATCTTCTAAAGTAATTGTTAAAAAGTTCATTATTATACTTTAAATTTCAATCTTAATTCATCAAAAATTTATAATTTGCAACCTCATGTTTCAATGCCATAACCTCTCAAATAAAATGAAAGGAAAAGTCAACCAGTAAACATTGTGTTGGGTGAAATAAATAATGCTAGTCTCTAACAGATTCCTGAGTTTATTATGGCAAACTTAAATAAAGACACTAGCATTTGATTCCATTCTCATCTTAGCTACAATTCTTAACATTTAAAATCTGTACACAAAAGTCTAAATATTCATAAACTTTATCATCTGCAAGTGAAATATACTAACTAGTGTATATTCTATTTCTTGATTTGAATGTTTTCAAATTGTACCAGGCTGTTTCAAACTCATAAATAATGAATAGAAACTTGCAATCTATGTTATAAAAACAATGGAATGTTACAATAAGCTGTGAGATTGTTGATACAAATATTACATCTAGACATTGTCAGGCTCTCAAAATAATCCACACAAAGCATTCAATGACTCCCAAGCTTAAAAACAATCCATATTATTTTAAAGGGTCTTATGAAAAGAAATGAATATAATAAAATAAGTGCTTTTTGAATACTGTAAACATACATTTTTCCATAGGGTCAGTATTCCTCCGAATCATAATTTCTGTTCAATCCGCTGGTAGAAAATTACGTGGTTTTCTTGGACTGCCATTGTATGTCTTAGAAGCACTTTCAGTATGCTGCGACAGATTTCCAAGGAAAATTTTTTGACAGCTCACGTAACGTAAATTAATCCAAAGTGGAAAAAAGTACACCTACAGTAGTTATCAATATTTTATATACCATTAATTTGTAAAAACTGTTCAATCAAATTCATTTGAAGTCAAGAAGATATCTGTTTTTATAATGCTTTTATCAAAACTAGAAGAAAAATAAATCAAGGAAAGAATTGCATTTAATGCCTAATAACACTTGATTGCACTAACATATATCATATAAAACATACATGAACTAATATGCTAATTCACAATTAATTATTATAAATTGCATTAGAGCATAATAAAATGAGCATACAAAATTTGATTAGTTTACACTGAATTTTTTTTTTTTTTTTTTTGCTTTTGGATACCAATTCTGACACTTCTACTAAAGCTTTGATTAGAACATCATCACGGGTTCAGACCTGAAAAAAAAAAAACTCTAATGTGACCTCCATTTTCAAACAAATTTCTCACACAACCCGATTGATCTCCGCATCGACTTTCCTCTGATAGCCTGATGTCCTCTGGAAAGTTCGGACCATTTCCTGTCCGTCTGTTGATTGGACAGTATAATTACTCTCAATCCCATAATCCTCCTGGTTCTCGGCATCCTCATCCAATATGTCTGCTGCTACATCTCTGAGAATCAGTTTTTCTTTCATTTGACGTCTGCTCTGTCTGTGGGAGGATCTAGATGTCTTGTTTGAGGTGGAGTCACTGTTTACAGGAGCAGAGTTAATGGCGATTCTCTCAGGACAGTATTCTGATCCAGACCATAGGATTCTAAAAACAGAATTATCACTGGTCAAGAAATAGGATTTATATGAGTGTTCAAATTAGTTTAAAGTCTTAAGATACTTGGAAGCATCATTTTATCAAATGTCTCTTTTATCATATTTAACCTAAACAGAGTTCATTCCCTTGATTATGATTTTTAAGCTATCCCATGGTGTTAATCAAACGTCCTTTTTTTAAAAATGATTAAAAATGAAACCAGCATCTCTAAACTACTGTTATACAGATCATTAGTTATAAAAGTAATCTAAATTTCAGTAATATTTAGTAGTAAAATTATCTACCTATGATTTCCATCAGATAAAAAATATGTTAAAGGTAGTTAAGATTAAAAAAAAAAAAAACCTTGTAAATAGCATTATTTTGACATTTTTTTTTTTTAT